GGCTTTATTCCATATGTAGGCAGTAAACTACGTAGCTCCAAATAAGAGGTAGCCAATGTAGTATTTCCCAAATCGTTACGCCGATCTGTTCTCACTCACGACATTATATTCTAGCGCTGGTGTTGGGCGCACTGGAACACTGATCTGTGCGGACATGCTGTTAGAACAATTGCGAAAGAACCCGTCGCAAATTGACGTCTTTGGAACAGTTCTAGCATCCCGCGTCTTCCGCTGCCAATTCGTTCAGGTCAAGGTAAGCCCTAGCAACTCCACTGGTTGACCGATTTTTGACGTTGCCTCTACAGCCGGCTTTATCTCGCTGTCTGATGAGGAAAAATTTTTACCTCCTTGTCAGCCTTGTAACTTCCCCCAGTATCTGCTCGGGGGTCCACTAGGTTCACTTCATCACGCCAGTGTCACTTACCTCCGTGTGTGCGGCGCGGGCACCTTACCGAGGCCGGCAACAGTAGCTTATGTAGGCCCACTCATTAATCCCTACTCCCTGCGTGTTCTCCTACGAAAACGGTGGTTAAAGGGTTCTGTGGATGGAGAATTAGCACACGCAGAGGAATATGCTTTAATAAATGTTAAATACTGTTTTATTTTATAAGTGTTGTTGATTTGTATCTGTAGATTTTCCTAATTTGTATTATCGTTTAACTTATTGCGGAAAACCCGATTATCAAATTGCAGGTTTCTTGAATTTCCCGAAAAATCGAAATTTTGGCTAGGAGGTCGTCTACCTCAACTTACCTGAGGTCCAACATACCATTCTGGGGTTAGATTAATATAGTCCGCGGCGCTTAGCGCCGCGTACACCTTCAATTTATATGCGGAACAACTTATTCCCAGCGGCCGCGGGAAACACATTCGACTAGATTTGTTTTCACTTTACACTTACTTTTTAAAAAATTCCTCCTTTGCCTATCCTATTTCTCCACCCCCAGAACTCTACAACCACCGTTTTTGCAAGACAAAATGTTGGGACTAGGGGTATATGAGTGGGCCTACATCAGCTGCTGTTGCAGCGAGGCCAAAGTCTCTACCCTATGGTAACCTAGAGTCAATTTTCTTCGAGCGTGGTCTTGTCTATAAAGTGCGGAGGAAAAAAACGGGGAACAATATCATGTCCGGCTCTGCA